TAGTAAATGACAATGTCTATTTTGTGGTCGTTTATGCCTTTAACATGTTGAGAGATAATTTCCCGTAAAGCTTTTTCATCCTGTTTGTGAGCAGATGTCATTTGATTTTGATAGTACAGTTTGACGGTCGGTTGGATGTCTTGCCTTGGTTTGTTGTCAAAGTGTCTTGTCATATGTCGTTGTGTCTCGTTTTCAATGTCAGAATTTGAAAAACCGTTGTTCACCAGGATCTGTCTGATTCGTGTCAATTCTGAATGTAGTCCTGTCCAACCAGAGCAGTGCTTAAATGCTCGTCGAGGAAAGGACCTTATGACGCTGATTTTGTAGCGTCGAGGACACTCACTGTCAGCATTTAAGCACCGTCCGTTGTTAGTCTGCTTTCGGTGTACAGTCGTTTTGAATTGTTGGCCTTGTCCATCAACAGCTACGTCAAGAAAGGGTATTACGTTTTGCACACTTTGCTCTGTTGTGAATTTTAAGCCAGACCGTTCTTCAAAGGTGTTTTTGAGATGTCCTAGTTGGTCAATGTCCCTAACTTCTACAAATATGTCGTCTACGTAGCGGCAGTAAATGTCCGGTCTTATGTCGTCATTTTGTAGTATGTCGGTTTCTATGTGTCCCATAAAGAAATTAGCGAATAGGGGTCCTAGAGGTGAGCCCATCGCAACACCCTCAATTTGCCAATACATTCGGCCATCAGGCCCGCGGAAAGGAACTTCCAACGTGCATGCTTTTAGTAATTGTTCAAGAAGGCGCCTTGATATTTTGAGAGGAGGAATTTCAGGATGATTGTGGACGCGGTCAAGGATGATGGATATGGTTCTTTCAATAGGCACGTTTGTAAATAGATTTTCAACATCTAAAGAGGCTAGTAGGCCCTTAGGTTGACGAGATCGCACTATATCAATAAACTCATCCGTTGATGACAAGCTGTAAGACATGGGGAGATATGGGGACAGAAGACCATAAAGACGTTTTGCAATTCTATAGGTTGGTGAAGGGATCTGTGAAATTATTGGACGAAGGAGTTGCCGTTTTTGTGAGTTTTCACAGACCCATAAGCATAGCCAGGCGCAAATTCACCCGTTATCTTGGAAAAGTGTATGCCATCAACAGCGGCATTGGCAGCAGTGAATTGACACGAATTGACACGAATTGTTTGATTCGTGTCAATACATTCAGAATTGACACGAATCAAACAGATCCCGGTGAACAACGGTTTTTCAAATTCTGACGTTGAAAACGAGACACAACGACATGTGACAAGACACTTTGACAACAAACCAAGGCAAGACATCCAACCGACCGTCAAACTGTACTATCAAAATCAAATGATATCTGCTCACACACAGGATGAAAAAGCTTTACGGGAAATTATCTCTCGACATGTTAAAGGCAAAAACGACCACAAAATAGACATTGTCATTTACTATTGTAATAAGAAGATATCGAACTTTCTTATGAGAAACAGCCCAGACAAACACGACAAACTGAAATGCACCAATGTAGTGTACCAATTCCAATGCAACATCGAAGGCTGCAAACTTCGTCCCACACACTACATCGGTGTGACCACAACGACACACTCACGACGCCTGACAATGCACTTACGTGACGGGGCACCCCTGGACCACATGCGACAGGAACACGACATGACATTGACACGACAACAACTGACAGACAGCACTGACATTTTACGAACGTGCGGTGACAGAAGACGCCTTCAAATTTGGGAAAGCATATTCATTAACGAACTCTCTCCGGCCTTAAACAGACAGACAAATTCTTGCAGAACTCTTGAGCTACTAGGTGGTGGGCGGTGAGCACTTCCGATGTGATTGTGACAATAGTGTTCCCATTGTGTCTTTGTGATGTTCCCATTATGAGTGTTTCTTACATGTATGAAGATGAAAATAGCAATCCGTCTTACTTCAATTAGTTGTGCTTCATTTATGTTCTCCGTACTAAAAGATGTTTTCCAACAGTAGTGCACAATTTTTTCATCCTTTAAAACTCAAAACTTATTTCTTGTGCAATTTAGTCTTCTCCGAAGATGAGATAAGATCTCGAAACGTTAGAATGGAAGGAGTGATGAATATATGAGTAATTTTGTGCGAACCATCTTTAATCTAAGCGATGACGCAAAGTCAAAGGCCCGGAAACTAGAACGATGCATCAAAAAGCTCGTTAATGCTGAGTCAGCAGTTATTTTATGCAAGCACACTGAATGCGCCTCCCACCACTTGCAACGTAAAGTACTGCACTGCTTTAGCCCTGCCTGGTATGAGCACCGGGTGAACCCCCGCCCATAAAACAAGGTCTGTTCACGGAAGGTACTGCACTGCTTTAGCCCTGCCTGGTATGAGCACCGGGTGAACCCCCGCCCATAAAACAAGGTCTGTTCACGGAAGGTACTGCACTGCTTTACCCCTGCCTGGCATGAGCACCGGGTGAACCCCCGCCCATAAAACAAGGTCTGTTCACGGAAGGTACTGCACTGCTTTACCCCTGCCTGGCATGAGCACCGGGTGAACCCCCGCCCATAAAACAAGGTCTGTTCACGGAAGGTACTGCACTGCCTTACCCCTGCCTGGCATGAGCACCGGGTGAACCCCCGCCCATAAAACAAGATCTGTTCACGGAAGGTACTGCACTGCTTTAGCCCTGCCTGGCATGAGCACCGGGTGAACCCCCGCCCATAAAACAAGATCTGTTCACGAAAGGTACTGCACTGCTTTACCCCTGCCTGGCATGAGCACCGGGTGAACCCCTGTCCATAAAACAAGATCTGTTCACGGAAGGTACTGCACTGCTTTACCCCTGCCTGGTATGAGCACCGGGTGAACCCCCGCCCATAAAACAAGATCTGTTCACGAAAGGTACTGCACTGCTTTACCCCTGCCTGGCATGAGCACCGGGTGAACCCCCGCCCATAAAACAAGATCTGTTCACGAAAGGTACTGCACTGCTTTACCCCTGCCTGGCATGAGCGCCGGGTGAGCCCCTGCCCATGAAACAAGATCTGTTCACGGAAGGTACTGCACTGCTTTACCCCTGCCTGGCATGAGCGCCGGGTGAACCCCTGCCCATAAAACAAGATCTGTTCACGGAAGGTACTGCACTGCTTTACCCCTGCCTGGCATGAGCGCCGGGTGAGCCCCTGCCCATAAAACAAGATCTGTTCACAGAAGGTCTCCCGCAGCTCGTGATTTTCTGATCGTCGTTGCTGGTCGCGGCGGCTGCTGGCACATGCTCGGCCATGTCAAAACTCTTGAAAGATTGCTCCTTGTGAATCATGAACTTAAAGCGAGTGAAACCACATCACTCACCCACGCATGGGGAGTTAGCGCATTCAGACCCAAACCTATAATGCAAAAGTACAATTAACAATATCGACCACGCAGTCGGGCATCACACATAGAACTGTGGTGGAGTGTGATCCACGCATAATTCAGCCATGCTTTACTTGAAACGCCCAATGCACTTCTGACATTCCTTGGAATGACTAAAAATGAGACATCCGTCAGGTAAACAGCGCAGTAATGGTGATTGCTAAGTGCGCCGGCGAACTCGTGGGTTTTCATGTAACACTTGAAATTTCCTGACAGCTAGCGTAAAAATGATAATTTAAGGACAGTTGCATAAAACGCCGGAATAGCATGAACGCCCAATTTTCCCCGAAACTCCGTGTAGGGGCCAAGAAGGCATGATCGATGTCCTTAAAGCGCATCAGCTACGCCGGTTAGTTGCTTTCATTTGCGGTTGCGCCAGGCACCGATGAGTATACGCAACTGGTTATGGTGTTCCCATCACCCGCTCTAGTTTGCGAGCAACTCCCCTCCCCCTCCATACCTCTCAACACTGTCGCGGATACTGCTCTGAAATACCCTGGGCACGACGGAGCAGACTCGCTCTGAAATACCCCTGGGCACGACGGAACAGACTCACTCTGAATGCCCCTGGGCGCGGCGGAACAGACTCGCTCTGAATGCCCCTGGGTGCGACGGAACAGACTCGCTCTGAAATGCTCCTGGGCGCGACGGAACAGACTCGCTCTGAATGCCCTTGGGTGCGACGGAGCAGACTCGCTCTGAATACCCCTGGGCGCGACGGAACAGACTTGCTCCGAATACCCCTGGGCGCGACGGAGCAAACTCGCCACCGTGATGGCTGAGATTGAAGCGGGCCTCTGTTCCGGTCGGTTGAACGGCCAATCGACTCCAAAGAGCAGCGTCAACATGTCCGCCGGATACAGATTGGCTGGTAAATTTTCCCGTAGCTGACAGGCTTCAGGCGCTCGGCGTCATCCGCTGCGGAAGCTGCGCAGCTCTGGTGGCCAAATGAGGTATTTCAAGCATGCTTGGAGCTGCAGGAAGCCCCCGCACAATCAGTGGGACCTCTCAGAGAGACATAAATAGGCGTGTGTTAAAATCTTGGCCAGCCCTTCGTTCTGCTACCAGGAATTATGGTAAGTACGCGTTTGCAATAACAGCATTTTGCCTGAAACTTGGAATTATCAAGCACACATGGCATATTTCGAATGCAGCGCATCGTTCGTTTTTTGCGGGATGCCTTCAGAACTCAACAGCACTTTTCTCCACTTTGAGAGCTGAAAGTAAGGCGATAAGGCGGCTCGCCTGTGGAAGTAGATGGATCTCAGCGGCGTCATGTGACCAGAAGAACGGAAAGCATCTCACAGGGAATAGCAGATTGTGCCGGCTATACATAGATGCGCGACGCCACGCCATGCAATTTATTAATGCACGCGTGGCTTCTTGGGCGATGTCCTTCACGATTGGCGCGTGCTGGGGTTTGTCAGACCCAGCCAAAGTTCTTTGATTCCCGTGCATGACGCAAATAGGCCAGCGCCGCGGGCAGCTGATTAATTTCCGAGCCTGGCTCGCAGGTGTATTCCGAGAATTAGAGCATTACTTGGCACGTGCTGCTGCCACAAATGTATCTGTAACTGTCATAAGACACAAACGCGCTGGATTCATGAAGGATTTACCAACCAATGGGCTTGTTTATTTCCTGCAACAATGTCAATCCATCTTACTATGCTTGGCCCGGCCACACCAAGTCAGGTGTTCGGCGCGTCTCCTGTTTCGGCAGAAAGCATCTAACGTATGTGCTTACATCAGAGGGCCAAGCCAGACAGCTTACGCACCGCTCTCACTCACACCAGGGGAAAAATACCGGACAGCTGGCACACCGCCATCACCCACACCTGGGGAACAGGGCCAGGCAGTTGGCGCCCCGCTGCCCGAGGCGGGAGGCGCGCTGCAGGACCCCGGTCCTGATGCCTGGCCGTCCCGTGAGGAGGTGTGCCGCCGCCCGCCGCCAGACCTCGCTCGCCGCCGCCGCCGCCGCCGGCAGCTCCAGAGCTCCACTCTCGCAGAAGCGGCGCGCCACACAGCGCGGCCTGACCTCTGCAGAGACGTCTCGCCACAGGCGGAGCGCCTCCATGGCGGCGGCTGCCGTCCAGGCGAGGTGCGCCCGGGCTGAGGCGCCGCCCGTCTGGCTCCGAGAGAAGCCAGATGACCCGGCTGCTCTCGGAGAGAAGACGGCCCGGTCGGCGCTGAAGCTCCCCATGTGGTCCGGCGCGAAGCTCGGTGACCGCCGGCGCGAAGCCGGACCCCGCTCCGTGACGACGGGACCGTGGCCGCGCGAGCCCGAGCGCGCGCTGCGAACCGGAGCTGAGCGTCGCACTCGTGGATGGTGCGGGGGACCGCGCGAGCGGATACGAGCCGTAAGCTTGTCCCTCATGTCGCGCAGCCGGCTGAGCTGACGCCGCCGTCCCACCATCACGTCGTTCTCGTTGTTCAGGTTGTTGTTGTTGTTGGCCACGTTTACATTGTTATCGTTGTTATTGTTATTATTGTTATTGTTATTATTGTTGTTATTATTGTTATTTATGTTGTTGGTGACGTTCACGACTATATTGATGATGGCGATGATGAAGCTGAAACAAGACACGCAATAATTGTAAAATGCACTGTATAATAATTTGATATCGCAGGATGTAAGTCTATAGGCAACATCTATTCTTATTTTCAGAGTGCCTTTAATTACATCAGCAGACATTCATAGAAAGCTACTGCCAGCAAGGTCGCATACCAAGTCTGTCCTAATATCGACTAACCGGAATCCTGGCAGCTTCAGCCGCCTGGTCTGGCCGCGGTCGACGAGTCACGTTGTTAATATCTTTCCAACCGCCGATCGCGGGGCTATGCAGCCCTCCGGAGCGAGCAGTACGACTACCGAAACGTTGAATCGCGGTTGCAAGTACACCTATGCAAGCTGTTAAACGGGAGTATTCCACATTTACATGGAGCTTTGAACTGAAATAGCCATCTTGAAAACCTTTCCGAGCTGTTCACAATCCTACCCTTTTTAGGACCAAAGCCCATCTAGTTTCTGAGTTAAACGCCGCGAGAATGGGAAAAGATATATCGGGAAGAGTATTTTAAAGCCACCTTAGCATTTATGACGTAATAATAACGTCATTCAAATCCCCGCCTTTCATTGCTCCAATATTTTCAAACGTGAAACATTCCCTTCAATGCAGCGTGGTGTCAGAGCAGCACTGCAATATCACCAGCATCCACTTCCGTCTATTTGACAAGCAAGAAAAACACTAAAGCTCAAAATTTTAGAAAGAAACAACCCGGCGTTACAGCCAGATATATTTGTACAGCCCGTAATGGCAGGGGCCCGGGATCGGCACACTAGGGATGAAAAAAAAATGTCAGCCGCATTTGCACAAATGTGTCAGTGGGTGCAACAGGGCTCTCGCAAACAATCCCGTGCGGTGGGCTCACTGACGTCGCTTTGGCTTAGGCTTGACGTCGCTCATCAGGTTGACCAGATCGTCCTTGGAACCCGGAGCAGCCGAAGATGCTATTTCAACCACAAATGACAGGTGAATGCGGCGTGTCTGCTGTATCAGTTAGCCTGCTCCATGCCGTCCAATCAGTACGGGTACCAGCTATCACCGAGCGAGCCGTCAAAGCTGTGCTGTAAAAAGCATTCTACAGGTTGCCTCACTGGCAATATTTTTATCACAGTCACTGACGACATAAATCATCAGAATCCTTTGAATTCTTGGACTGAACCGACCAACCCTGTGTGCCAGCCAGCCAGCTGTCGAGCGACATGATCGTGACTGAACTGACTGACGTGACTTGGGTGCTGCTTCACAAGTCATTATAAACATCATAAGTTTTCAATTTACCATCATATCAATCTATAATTGTACTAATATATCTACATGTTGAAGGGACTCGTCAGTGTATTGAAAAAGCCCGTTTGTTAAAGTTCCCGCAATGTCCGGTTTTCTTGTTTTGTTTTTTTAATATAATGTTTTGTACCGTTTCTATCAAGACCACAGCCATACATATCATTTTTTGTGTCACCTTTACTGTTCAGTGCAAATCGTTTTGTTTTCTTTGTACAGGGGACAGTTGCAAAGGCCGTGATTGATCAACGTCGGACAAATTAGCGATGAGAACCAAGAGATGCGACAAATTTATTTTGAGAGCTGAAGACGTGTCAGCGTTGTGGACGTAATGCGAGTATGTGCGATAACCTACATCATTCACCTTTAGGTAAAGCCTGTTCTATTCATAGCAATGCCTGAACATGTGAAAACCAATTGGATAGAGCTGGTTCAAAGGCAAGATATTCGATCGGACGCATTATCATGCGATTTGCACCAAACCAATGGTAAACAACAACCTACAAATGTCTTTCTCGCTTCAGCTTCCTTTAGGAGACCCACCTGAGGAAACCAAATGACGACATTTGGTGCGTCGGCGTGCATTCTGTGTTGTCTTCCTTCGGGACAAAAAGAACCGGCATCTTCTCAGAAGTGTCCGAGCTGGAAAACACGACACCTGGTTGGTAACATAGCACGTGCTATCAAAAATTTCATTTCAGTCTTTTAGTCTTTGAATCAATGTAAGGCAATGGCAATTTATGCAGCATTTGGAAAAGTCAAGGTGTTCACATGCGTCGCCCAGCTGTACAGACAGAAATAAAAACCGTGTAAATTGAGCGCCAAGAGGGTACATTATTTCATGTTCAAGCTTTTCCTAGTGCGATGCAACATTTTTAGATGGAATATATTTTAGCACTTAAAGTGAGCTTCGCTGATATTAAACTTTATTCACGTCGCGACCGAAAATAAAGGGAGTAAGCGTTGAAATAGCGGGGCAGCGCAGTCTGAGGCGATGAACCGAAGTCTCTCAAGCTCGGAATCGACCCCGTACGAGCTTCATAAGCTTTTCAGAGAGTTAGAGTCATAACGAATACCGTGCGTCATTGAATGAGAGCCGGAGCCGTGTCGCCGTGGGGTGAAGGCAATGGCGATTCTAGTGCTACTATCATTTTTTTTAACATTTACTCCAGTCTCTACTTTTAAATGTGCGCAGCACAACAGTAGCGAGAGGCATAGCATCCAAGTCCTGCACCACTCTATAGCTCATACCAGCTTACGGCTCAGCAGGCTACGCCAATGCGCGTCCTGCAACGGACTCCACCGGCTAACGATCAATCACGGTTTTAAGAGAACGTTAAGTTAGGGCATGGACATTCAAACTATTTGACAACAGCACCAGACAAGTGTGCGAATAGCACGATCCACCCAACAGATGGCAAATTTAGTGCATGGACACTCCGCTATCTCAGAGAAGCATTTTACTGTCACACCTAGTGATCCAGCCGCACGGACACCACACGTCCAGCCATCGACCCTACTCCCGCGCTTCATCCATGACCAGATGACAGCGCGCCTGACCTGGCTCAGTGTCTAATAGATTCTGCCGTAGCGTGACTGATGATCAGTTTCCGTTCCCGCCCCCGGTCCCGGCGCGGCCAGGGCGCCGGCGACCGTGACCCGCGGCGCCCGTCGATAACCGAATATCGCTCGGAGCGCACCGGGCTGGCGGCTGTGATTGTCGCCCGTCGCCCCAGAAAGGCTGGAGCTGATCTGCGCCATCGGCCGGGCGATTGGCGAGATGCCTTAAAGGGCATCGGCGGACTGCGAGACACCGGATCCCTCCCCCCCCCCCCCCCCCCGACCATCTGTGCCCAACAAGCGACGGAACTAATTGGGAGATTCCAGTTGTAATTTGCGGCGACCACGCGGCGGCCACTCAAGGCCATGTGAGACCACCGTGAGCCGCGGGGCAGGAAACCATGCTTGCCGGTGGGTTTCCGCTGGTCGGGCCAACGCCCTCCACTCCCTGACAGCTGAAGGGAGTGTCCCCTAAGCCATCCCGCTTCCCGACTTGGCTGTTTTCAAATGACTGTCGCGGTGCATGTGGCCTCGCCCTCTGACCTCAGACTCCTTCGAGGTTCTGGACTGAATGTCAGCCCTGCAATGAAGAACAAGTCTGCCATAGTTTGTCCGCTTCGTGGCTCAGCCCAAATTTCCATGTACATGCGGGGAGTCCTTCTGACCTTGTTCTTGCACGACTTAGTCAGGGTCTACAAATCACGGACTGTGGCTCCATCTGACCCGTCTGCTTATCCATTCCGTCACAGTCATTCGATGAAGTTAAGTGCATTAATCTGGCATCGACTGCCTGGCCTGACGTCAGTTTCTGAATGCGTGGCCGGATGACCACCTGATGTTGCCTAGCCAGGCGTCCACTCCCTGGTTCAATCAAAATCACTGAATGAATACCAGGGAGTCCACATGATGCAGCCTAAAACCTGACTTGTGAAGAGTCGTCCAATCCATTTCAGGCCATTCAGCGGGCGTTGCAAATGTTCTGACTTCGTCAATGCTCTACAAGCGATGACGGGGTATCCGCCTGACCTTGACCCCTTCTCGGTCTTTTAACGCTGTACAAATGACCTCAGGTCCTATTCGGATAACCCACTCATCACGTCTCGCACTGTCCGTATATTTCATAGTTATGTGATACTCACGTAACAGATCAAGGCTCGTCAAACGTCATGCATGTAATTCACTAGTGGAAGTTTACTCCTACCGAAGCAAAAGGACGCGACGAACTGTCAACACTGCTTCACCATTATGAACGGATCCAGAAGTGATGAACTCGTCGCTCCATAAATCCTAGCAGTAAAACAAATATATTGTGAAATTATTCATTCAGCCCATGGTTCTTATCTTTCATTCTGTCAGGTTGCTTATCAAGTGATATGCCTTGGTGTAAAGATTTAACGATATCAGACTCAGCTGCACCAAAACATGATGCTTTGAAGGAAAAAAACATGGTGCTTTGTGACTAACAGGAATTATTTTTGAGTGATGGCAATGAACAAAGGACGTGACGAGTAAAACTGGACAAACCACGCAATCGAACGGGTCGAGTTTTTCCGGTTTCACCTCTGATCTCCACCGATGAAGTTGGAGTATCCATTTGCGATGTTGCCGAGCCCCATTGCTTGGCGTCTGTGGCGGCGATGGCCCGCGGTCCTCGACCTCAGGTCAGCAGAAGCCGCCTGGGTCACGGTGTTGTCGAGTGCGGCTTGATGCAGGCGAGAGGGAGTCCAAAGGCGAAGATCGTCAGCGGGGGCATCGCTGGGGCGGACAGCTGACGAATATACGTGCCCTGAGGTCGAGAAGCTGAGCGCACCATCGTGAACCCCAGCGATGAGGCTGAAGGGGGCGAGCGCCATGGACCTCCTCGGTCGTCCTCACTGCTCCTGTGCCGCTGCTTCTCGCCGCTCCCGTTCCCTTTCCTCTTCCTCCGAGCTGCAGCAACAGTCGTAGCAGCACCACAGCTTCGGACACTTGATTTTGACGTACCAGGTGAACAGGCGGCGCAGGCAGCCCATGGCGCGCGGCGACAATGGCGGCGCAGCAGCCAGCGGCGCGGCGAACGCGGGGCGAGTGCGGCCGGGCGCGGCGCGCCGCTGTTAGCGGCCCCCGCCCCCGCGGTTCAAGGCCGAGCCCGCCGAGCGTACGAACACGTCCGACACATGCAGCCGGCCACACCTCCGAGTCAGGGAGCGCCGCAGCTGGCGGCGGTCGAGGAGGGACCGGGCTGAGAACGGCGCGTTGCTGCGAGCCGAGGAGCGCCGCGGCTGGCAGCGGAGATCGAGGAGGGACCGGGCTGAGGACGGCGCGGCTGGCGACGGGGATCCAGGAGGGACCGGGCTGAGGACGGCGCGGCTGGCGACGGAGATCCAGGAGGGGCCGGGCTGAGGACGGCGCGGCTGGCGACAGAGATCTAGGAGAGACCGGGCTGAGGACGGTGCGCCACTGCGAACCGAAGAGCGCCGCGGCTGGCGACGGAGATCCAGGAGAGACCGGGCTGAGGACGGCGCGGCTGGCGACGGAGATCCAGGAGGGACCGGGCTGAGGACGGCGCGGCTGGCGACGGAGATCCAGGAGGGACCGGGCTGAGGACGGCGCGGCTGGCGACGGAGATCCAGGAGGGACCGGACTGAGGACGGCGCGGCTGGCGACGGAGATCCAGGAGGGACCGGGCTGAGGACGGCGCGGCTGGCGACGGAGATCCAGGAGGGGCCGGGCTGAGGACGGCGCGGCTGGCGACAGATATCTAGGAGAGACCGGGCTGAGGACGGCGCGCCACTGCGAACCGAGGAGCGCCTCGGCTGGCGACGGAGATCCAGGAGAGACCGGGCTGAGGACGCCGCGGCTGGCGACGGAGATCCAGGAGGGACCGGGCTGAGGACGGCGCGGCTGGCGACGGAGATCCAGGAGGGACCGGGCTGAGGACGGCGCGGCTGGCGACGGAGAAACAGGAGGGACCGGGCTGAGGACGGCGCGGCGCGCGACGATGGAAGCTCCGCAGCCGCATCTCCCCCAGGTGACGTCAGCAGGCGGTCTGCCGAGTCCGCTTGACTTGGTGGCTGACCGGATGTTCGGTGGCGGAGGCCAACTGCTGACGTCCGAGAGCAAGCAGCTGGAGTTGCTGGACCGACAGCTGTCGGAGTTAGCCGCCCAATGGCTGCCGGCCTCAGGTGGCGCTGCAGCGAGTCCCGGTCCGGACGCACCCCATCGACGTCAGAAACGTAGCTGCTCCACTGGCCTCTTCGGCTTCAACACGTACAACTTCCTCACCTTTATGCTGCTTGCTTTCAACGCCGTCGCCAACGTCATCAACAATATCAACAATAACAACCGCAACAACAACAACAACAACAACGACAACGTGAACTCCAATAGCAACAACGTGGCGTCCAACTCGGAGAACGGCAACTCTATTCTGGTCATCATACCGCCCGCGCCGGGGCGGCGGCGTCGCGGAGCCGGGACCGCCGGCTCCTGCCGCCAGAGCCGGCTCCTCGTGCGCCGTTCGGCTGAGGCGCGCAACCACCTCCTGGCTCTGGTCGGCAGTCAGGAACGATGTCGGGCCTTCGAGAGGTGCGTAGCCATCGCACGTGCCGCGCGGAGGTATCCCGGTGTCCCCCCGCTGTACCTGAGGGCGGGAAAGGAAGAGGGATGGGTTCGTGTTTCGAGCATGCCGTGCGGGGCGCTTTTCCCCACGTGTGGAGCTGCAGCCATCGATGAATAGTATCCAGTGTGACTCTTAAGGCGGTGTGTTGTACTTGTCACATTGCAGTCTGTTTTGGCTCGAATAACTGCTGAGTAGCATCGACTTGATCTCTGGTCAATGTTATCTGAGTTAATATCTGTATCTGATCTAAAGTGTTGTAGAGCGAGCATTTCTAGCTGATTGCCATTGTTGGCACAACAGTTCCCCGGATGTTATTAAATTCCATCAGGAACTGTGTTTTTCACGCAAAAAAGTGAGAGCATGTGGATCAGGAATAGAACCACTGGAACACAGCACAGAAGTCTGGTTGCGTTAATTCGGCGCATTTCTGATGCTGAATTATGTCATTGCCATGAGACCATAGTTGCTGCCATCAGGTTATGACATTTTATCGCGTAAGCACGGAAAAAACATCTGTAACAAATACATCTTTTATTTTGTGCGGCACGAATAAGGACCACCAACTTGTACGACATCAATAAGGAACTTCATAAAGCTATTGGAATTAGACAAACAGGCGGTTGTCGTCAGCTCACATATATCATTAATTCAAGTGATCACATAAAACATGAAAAATGATTGATAGGTCCTCACAGGAAAAATGACACCTGGTTTATAATTTTTCCTGTAATGACTATAGCTTACTTGTGTCAATTTTTGTTTTCAAAAATGAACAAATCATATGAGGAGGCCATTTCTTTTCGTCCACGCTGGTGAAGCTCGAGTATGACGTTACATTTTCACTCTATCATGATGCTGTTCATATTTAGTTATCACCAGCATCATAATAATTCAGTTTTGCTTAATCACCACCAAGATTCCGCCGCTTAGCAGGTATTTGGCCTCAAATACCCTTTGGCCATTTCTTTTCTTTTAGAATTAGGCCAAAATTTTGTCGATCAAAGGTACTTTTTTGAAAATTGAACATGTACTAAACAAGTGAAAATCAGTCTCAAAATATATGTCTCATTAACATCAGCCTCGTCACAAAACAAACTAAAGAAAATCACATAAGCGAGGAGATACGGATACTTGGTATGACTATCTCGCTAATAACTCTTTAATGGGTCACACCGTTACCAAGCCTCGCCGGGCTGCTTGTGGCGGCTAACTGTCCGGCTCAGCAGGCCCGCCCTGGACCGTACGGCGCACCGCTAGTGGGCTCGGCACTGCACGCCTCTCGTGCGGAGGCGCCACCTCAGTCGACTGGTTCGGGCGCGGATGGCGTCAGTCGGCGTGGCGGCGCTCCTGCTGGCTTTCAGCTCAGCTGGCCTGACCTCAGGTCATCGTCCCGACCGAGGCCTGGCGTCAGGTCAGACGGCGGCCGCCGCCAGGGGTCAGAGCTGTACGGGTGGCCTGACGCCAGGTCAGGAGCTGGCGGTGGAGGCGGCTCTGGCAGCACTGCGCCGCCAGAGCGTGTCGCAAGCTCGAAGCCGCGCTCGAGCCGCTCTGAAAGACACCGAAGACTCGGGACGCCGCCGCCAGAAACGGTCAACTTGTCCGGGAACCGGCTTCCTGGGATTCAACACCTACAGTCTGCTGACGACCATCCTCCTGGTCTTCAACGCGGTGGCCAACACGCTCAACAACATCAACAACAATAACAACAACAACAACAACGACAACAATGACAACATCAACGTCAACGCCAACAACGCCGAGTCCAACTCCAACTCGATGTCGATGCTGGTTGTCGTGGTTCCGCCCGGTCGATGAGCCCGCGTTCGCCGGCGATTCATGGAATCTCCTTGCGAAAGCCGTTTGATGATTGGTTTGTCCTGTGGCGCTGCGGGGCGACTCTGCCGCCTGATACAGCTTATCTGCTCGCAGCAGCCCGATGGATTGCGCATTCTGAAGGAGGAGCGACGAATACATTGGTTGGTCTCAGCAATTTGGCTTCATAAATTGGAGGATTGCTGGCTAGGAAAACGAGAGCATGAGAGCAATGATGGGTTGTTGACACGACGAGAGACGGCTCATAATCGCATTATTATATTTCATTATTTATTCTCACCTTAGCAATCTGCAAGAGTCGGTTGTGAAACAAGGCAAGTGAAATGCATAAGTGCGTGGCCAAGCGACATGGCGCTTTCAAAAAACCGTTTTAGTCCTGATTCCCGTCAAATTGCGATCAGCGTTCGTCTAACCCTTAGCTTTTACACATGTCCATGGCATATTTCTAGCCCCAGTCTATGTCTTTAAGCTGTATTCTAAGACAGCAAAGGCACTATGGCTTTGAGACCTTTCCTAACGCACGCTCGGATGAGGGACAGTTTGACACCCAAAAGGTTTTCCAGAATTATTTTCAAAAAGTTGCGGAGTAGCGGCACAAAATTTGGCATAGCTGTACGCAACTGAATCGCGGATATTGTAATACAAAAAATTGGTTGCGCATTGCAAGGTAACCTTTAACCTCTTGGGGTAGGGGGGGGGGGGGGACGACATACAAACGCGAGCCCCAGATCATTTTGAAATCAAGCATGACGTCTATGATGCTGAATGGAAAGACATTCGTTACGACGCACCCAGGTGGCCTGTTAGATACCCTCCGCTTGGGTGAGGGTCAATATGGCCCTTCTGAGATTCCAGGAACTTAGAGAACTAGACACACCACATTTACAATGTGTGTTTACCTGTGCGTGAACTCACTTAGGTCCAATTTTTAGGGTCCTAGATCATGACTTTCGGCTCAAATAGGGTCAAACAAGGCAAACTCTAAGTTGGCCTCCAACGTGTCACCAGAACCTAGATACCTATTCTAAGGAAAAGTTCACATGCTCATTAAACATGCGCCGGAGTGGCCTGTTCGATACCCTTCGGTCGGAAGGGCGGGTAAATTTCACCCACTGAGATCTCAGGAACTAAGAAAGCAAGAGACATCAAATTCACAGGGTGCATTGACCTGTACGTAAACTCACTTAGGTAAGGTTTGAGATTACTGGGTCATGACCTTCTGGCGAAATAAGGTAAAACAAGGTCAAATTCCAGGCTGGTCTTCAAAGGGTTCCTAGAACCAAGATAACTATTCTAAGCAGGATGTCGCCTGCTCATCTAAGGTCAGTGACGTTGTTTGACCTTTTAAAGATCATGGTGACCAAAATCATACAAGACTGCTTTGAGTTCTGCAGTTGGATAAGCGACAAAGGTTACGATAGGCGGTATGTTCCTAAAAACAAAGGGTTGACCTGGGTCATTCTAGGTCAGTGACCTATTCTGACCTTTAAGAAGTCTATGGAGGGTGTATAATGCGGTTCCTGTTATAAAAAATTCGGGGATCAATTTGACCTCTCACCCGAACGCGTGTTGAGTTCAGTGACCTCGTTTGATTTTTTGAAGGTCATGGAGACAAAAATCA